GCATTGAAAAAATTAAACCACATTAGCATCTGTGTGCATGAATAAAAAAATTTGCGCAGTTGCCTATACTTAAGCTGAGCTATATAATTAATTATAAAAAGATATTTAGATAAATTATAGCCACGTTAATTAAAAAGAAAAGGTTCCCATATACTTGGGAAAATTGAAAGTGAATAGCAGTGGCAACACTGACGACAAAATGTCAAAATTTTATTTGAAAAAAATTAAATATTTTTATTTTATAACCTAGCTTTAATTTTGTATTTATTGCCAAAAATGTTAATGGTTTAAGTGTGAAACTTAATATTCTTTTGTATTATGTGTATTTGTGAAAGAGAATCGAATTTTATCTACTGTTTTTCTTTGTTTTTACGGAGCATTTTTTTGTGTACTTTCTTGGCGGGAGTTGAATGAGTAATGAAGTGCAAAACGAAAAAACTAAGACAAACGTCTTAGTTTTAGTGGCTTCAGATTTTTGGTATGTATTGCGTATCTAGACATATTAATATCATTGATGGTACGCATATCCATGATTGAAATTTGAATTATAAAAGTCTATAAATAGGAATGTAGACTTTTTTAAATATTAATATTTTATAGATAACATGAAATATATCTAAAAACAATATTTTTAAAGTGTCATTCGTATAATTTAAAATTTAAAAACAAATTTAGCTTTCAAAATTTCCGGCGGGAATGCGAACTTGCGACGCCATGACGGGGCGTCGCTATGACGTCACGCTTTTCTAAAACTACTATTGTACTGAGTATGCATAAGGTTCATTTCTCTAAGTTTTGATATAAGTAAGAGGGGTATAAAATTAATTTGTTTTTCTGTAATTAATTTAAGCAATATAATAAGCATAAAAGTGTGATAGATAGATACATGAACACTTTATTGCTCACACACAAATGAAAAGTTTACAGTAAGTTTCCTAATTCTAGTGGGCAAAGGCGGTCTATCTTATCTTATGAATGGTGGTCATAAGAAAAAAAAAAGTATAAGGGTCATTGCTGTAGATAATTTTTTTTCCACAATTCTTGTTTTTGTGAAAAAATTTATTATTTCGGGCTTCTATGTTCTAAGGAAGGCAAGTATGCAACAGGAACATAATAGGCTACTGATGATGATAGGTATCAAATACTAGTTTATCAGAAATATAATTATTACCTCGCGGTCGTAAACCTCTTTTTTTTTCAATGGCGAAAATAGTAAATTGGTATTGTAAATGTATTTGTATATCATGGCGAAGAATTAATCAAAATGAATATTGCCCTTTTTCTGCCGTATAATGATGACGAAGCAATTACACTTTCTAAAGGGTAAAGGTTTAGAAACAAGGGTCAGATTTACGTTTGCTGGCTCATGATAATCATTTTGTTGCAGACATTCAGCTTACCTAATTAAAAGCTTATTTTTATTTTAACACTAGCTGTGCTTGCGACTTCGTACAGGTGGAATAGTGACTTTCGGCAGCATCTTTAATTTTTACGGTTCCGTAACCAAAGGGTAAATAAAACGACACTGTCTGTCTGTCGCCAGGCTGTATCACATGATGTACTTCTGTTGCCGCTTCAACAACAATAGAATAAAATAAATATTTAAGGGGTCTTCCATTTATCAACTTATCATGTTTACAAATGTGATTTATATAATTTAGGGGGCGTCCATAAATTACGTGAGGTGTTTTTTTTAAATTTTCTGTCCCTCCCTCCCCCTCTGGTGAGATATCGTGAGATTTTATTCAACCCCCTCCCCCATCCCCCAATCTCACGTGAGATTTTTCAAAATGCAATTTGATGAGTACTTGCGAGTATTTGCCTTGTTGTAGTATCGAGTACTCAGTATCGAGTATCGCTTTTGAAAGTATCGATACCTACTCGGTATCGAAAGTATCGTTCGAGCCCTACAAATATGATGGTTTGACATTCAGTCGATGTATAGCGTCGAAATATGAATGAAATTATTTTCTTTTGAACGAATTAGTGAATGATCTTAATCGTATACGTTTACGCTTAAGATTAAATCTTAAGCATGTACAATCTAGATTAAATGGACCAAAATAGTATTTTTTTTTGTTTCAATCAGAAAAAAAATTGCGTGATATTTGCCGAGACCCCCCTCTCTCCAACGTAAGATTAGATGAGATTTGCCTCGACCCCCTCCCCCCCTTAAACATCTCACGTAATTTATGGACGCCCCCTTACGTAATTTTGACATCACATATGAGTTTCTCTTTAAATAGTCGATGCTAATAACTGGCAAATGTAATATAAGAAAACTTGTGTTAAAATTAAAAATATCTTTAGGGGGCGTCCATAAATTACGTGAGATGTTTAAGGGGGGGAGGGGGTCGAGGCAAATCTCATCTAATCTTACGTTGGAGAGAGGGGGGGTCTCGGCAAATATCACGCAATTTTTTTTTCTGATTGAAACAAAAACACAAAAATACTATTTTGCTCCATTTAATCCAGATTGTACATGCTTAAGATTTAATCTTAAGCGTAATCGTATACGATTAAGATCATTCACTAATTCGTTCAAAAGAAAATAATTTCATTCATACTTCGACGCTATACATCTACTAAATGTCAAACAACCATATTTGTAGGGTTCGAACGATACTTTCGATATCGAGTAGGCATCGATACTTTCAAAAGCTATACTCGATACTACAACAAGGCAAATACTCGCAAGTACTCATCAAATTGCATTTTGAAAAATCTCACGTGAGATTGGGGAATGGGGGAGGCGGTTGAATAAAATCTCACGACATCTCACCAGGGGGGGAGGGAGGGTCAGAAAATTAAAAAAACACCTCACGTAACTTATGGACGCCCCCTTATTGTTACATACAATTTTAAGTCAAACAAACAAACACGCCAGTTTTAAAGACAGTAGTGAAAACAGCTAATTGTATCATTTTATTATTTCGCCAGATTAACAATTCCCCATTAAATTATGTTATTGGAAATGCCGCAAAATTAAAAACGATAGCTACTTTGTTTGATAAAAATCGGAAAATAAAGACTACAAACTTAATAAAAAACAAGTCACGTTTTAAAAGTACAGTAGCATCATCTAGTGTTTAATAGAGGGAGCCAAATGTAACATTTTATTTTTCGCGCTATTCATAATTCCCTATTAAATTATCTTATTGGAAAAACTGTAAAATTGAAAACGAAAGCTACTTTGATAAAAATCGGCAAAAATATGATTTTTAAAACATTTTAAAGAAGCTGAATTGCGTAATACACGAGTTTGGCGCTTTAAAAAAGTCAAATATTCTTCCGTTTTTGTAACATTTTTCATTGCTGCTCCATTCCTACAAGTCATAGCGTGATGTTATACCTATAGCTAATAACTAATAGCTTTCCTCGATAAGTGGACTATTCAACAAAAATAATGATTCAATTTGTTCCAGTAGTTCCTGAGATTTTAGGGATCAGTCAAACAAACAAACTCTTCAGCTTTATTATTAGTATAGATAAGTAAGTATACACGCGGCTGCTCATCAGGTTACCACAATATGTCAAATTTATGCAATCCATTTTGACCTGTATCATCAATTAATTAAGATTTATAATCGAGTGGCGAAATTTGACAGTTTTGTATAGTCTACCGTGCAATTGATTGCATTCTTTATATGTTTAAAATATATAGGTATGTATATAAGTGCAATTTGATTTTAACTTTTCTTAATAGTAATTAATAACGATTTATTTCTGTTGTCATAGGTATCAGAAAAAATGACCTACTATATAATTAGAACTTCTATGTATTAACTGCAATGATCAGTCTTGCTTCTACCTGTTTACACAAAACCTTTATAACTTTATAGTACTAATCTCTTGAATTTGCAGATAATGCTTTTTACAAAACTTTTTTAATTAATCATATGATTCCTAGTAAAATTAATTACAGTAGGGTTGCCTGCATCAAGTAAATATTTTGTAATCGATTAAAATACATGCAGTCATTGTTTAACAGACAACAATATGTTATGGTCTAGAGTGAAAAAAAAAACAAATAAAATTGTGTTAAAAAAATGGAAGACTGGGTCTCCATTGGGGGCAACCATTTTTTCTATTTTATCCTTTTTTGCAAATGATGTTGGATTCAAATAAAAAACAACTGTATCTTGAACATTTGAACAAAAAAAGAATACATTTTAAGTAAAGATATTTACTGCTAAATCTTGCCAGACAACCCTGCTGTTATCTATTCTAAAGAGCTTATTAGTAAATATATTTCTGATAAATGAATAAATAGTAATTAATTGAGGTGATAAAATAAGTTTAAATGTAATTAAATTTAGAAGACATTTATTCAACCTGGTTCTGTGAGATAGGCAACATAATTATTGCATGTTGAAATTATCAATTACTTATTTGATAATATACTTGCTTGTTGTTAACAAACAAATAAGGGAAAACAGTTTTGAAATGACATTTAAATAAAATTAGCTTTGCTAGTTAGAGATGCATATCTGACCGAAGATGGGTCACTTAATTGTTAATTGTGGAAATTTTTATCTGACAAATTTTCAATATGAAATGAAATTCATACAAGCTTTCTTGATTGAAGATCTGTTATGTACTAATGCATACTTTCATGAAAAGCTCAACAGATCTTCTCCTATCAAAAACAGTGGCAAATGTTCACCAAATCACAATAAATAGCCAAATTATAATTTTATGTTTAAGTATGAACAGAATAAAGGTAAAAAAAAATTGACAAATTTGGCTTTTGTAATAAAGCAAATATTTTGTCAACTGTACATGATGAAAGATGTCATCTATATTTGATTTTTGATGTGTTGTATAATAATCAATGTTTAACTAGTTTTAGTTATATGTATTTCGTATTCAACATAATAAGTCCAAGAAGCAGATATTTATGTTAAAATTCAAAGAATGTACAGATAAAAAGTGCAGTTAATAAACACAAAGTATTGTTGTGAACAAATTGATATTATTTATAAAGTATTTTTACTTACTTTTTATAAACTCTACAAAATGAGTTGTTTATCCTCTTGTCTGATAAATGTCTTCTTCGATCTTCAAATAAATCTTTGATAGCTGTTATTCCAAGCACAAACACCACAGGCAACATGGCCACCTCTTTTCCGAATGCATTGATAGCTGGCACCCAGTTTAACAACACTATAAATATGAAATACACATTTGCAATTCTATGGAATTGCTCAAATAAGTTCTTTGGTAGAAATGATAGAAGGGTGTACTTTGTAGTCCTGATTTTATTGTCACATCGCTGGCCATTGGGATGGTCTTTTGGAGGTGTTTTCTCAGGCACTAAGTGATTAGGTATAACTACAAAATGACGATTATCTATAGCAGGTTGTTGTCGGCGCATTAACCAAAAGACCGCACGTCGCCATGGCGCTACAACCGAGTTTCGTCGTATGGTATATATGGAATCAGAACGTGAAGCTTGACGAGAGTGATGAGCACGCACAGAACCCAACCGGGGCTGAGCGCTAACAGGAGCAGGCTCGCGGTGTCCCGGGGGCAATATGAAGTCGGTGCGACTACCGGTGCGGCTGTGTCCAGGTCCAGATGCTGCACGAGGACCTTCGCCAATTTGTCCATGCGATAAGGCACGCTGATGACCGCGAAGGGCGGATTTGAGTGGTCGCGCAGCTGCTGGATTTCCAGCAAGCATCGGTGTTCCTCCATGGCTGATTGATCTCGAATGCCCTTTCGCTTTGGGGAAAAGATAAGTTTGCTCTGGAGCTCCAGGTAAACTGGGTACAGTCGAGGAATTCTCGCCGCTTCCTTCTGTTGACATTTTTATTCATCTGAATAGAGTGTGTGTTTCTTTTTGCTTTCATTTAAAAGTTTATTGGATATCACACATAATGTTTATTTTGTTACAGAACAACATAATGAAATGTAACATTGAAACATATGGCTTGAATTGTTGGAATCACCTGTTCACTAACTTACACATCACAAATTATCGTATTTAAAATTCACAACACTAATAAAGTACTTTAATTTATAACTACAATAGTAATAATACATTGTCAAGACTATGGAAATTGAAAATTAATGTGTGAAAGACGTGTGGGCGATAGTCTACGTGCACGAACGACAGAACAAAACTATATACTTCAAAACAGAAACTTCAAACTCGATCAACAACAAGCAAATACGACCGTCTGACATTGACGTGACAGCAAGAGAATGAAGTGTGAAAGGTGTGAAGTGAAATATGAGTGAGACTGTTTCACTCTTGGGAGATTGGTAACATTGACGGATATAAATTCGCTAGTGTTGTGTGCCACCATACTATTCTATATATCTACTGTCGAAATAATGCACAGTCTGTTTTTAAAGTTATGAAAAGAATGTTTGAGGAACTAATACATTATCAAAATATTTCAACACAAAATCAAATTCAGACCCAGATTCAGATTTATGCTATTGATGAACTTTGGAGAGAAAATATACTACAAAGCTTGAAAAAGAATATTATAAACGAGGAAATACCCTATATCTTTTTTTTAAATATACTTAATTAAATTAGAAATGTACTTTGAATCATTTAATGAATAAGATAATTTTTGTAATGAGAAAGTATTTTAAAAAAACATTAGTTCCTAAAATCAAACTAGATGTCCCTACGATACGTCCTTGATTTCACCATAACAACCCTTCCGGTTTTCTTTCATGTTTTTAGTTCAAAAGTTAATTAGTTTTCAAAACTCAATAATATTTTCGTTTTTGTATTGATATCTAAGTTTCGAACTATTCATATTTCAGTTTTTAAAAGGAACAGAAATGACTGTCTTTGGTCCATTCGTTTCCTGCAAAAAACAACTTTTGCTGGAGTATCCAGTGGAGGAACTTTTTTAGTGTTTTCTTTTTTTTAAATACTTCCTCATTGGAATATACTTATCATATTTTTTTTATTTCAGAACATAGACTGATATGTTTGAACTAAACATGTTTGCTTTTATTTACTCACTATATTTGAACGACAGACGGATTTTAAATCTCTATATTTTCTCGATCGAGTTCAAAAAAGAATCCACGAGTAAAATGTATGTTTTCACTATGCGGTCTATGAAAATAAAATCATTTGAGTCACACTATACAGGGTTGTTACATGCACGATCGCAGTGCTCTCATTTATTTTGTGGCGACTGATACGTAGCGAAATCTAATTCATCGTACTAACATCGCCACAACAAGCGACTGATACGTAGCGACACAATTACCTTTAGTGTCCCTCCGAGCTAGGTGCTGTTAGCCCGGTGGCGTATAGTACACAGATCATATCGATGTACTATACGACACCGCGGAAAATGGTACTAACACGCAGTGCAAATAAAAATGTTGTGGCCGCAAACTCATACCCTGATGGTTTAGAGCTGCAACCCAAAGGCAGTGTAAAATCAGAGCCTGTAAAGTTACAAATATTATAACGTGACCTACCGCCAAAACCGACGACATCCACTGTGAATGAGTTGGCACAGCTGGAGTCAACTCAGTCGCAGCAGCAATTAGCAATTCACAGCACACTACGACAACCAGCTTGCATCAAGGTTCACGACATATCATCCAATGATGGAACAACATTTCGCGACCGCAAAGGCTCAAAGGTGTCGACGTCAACGTCCGCCAAAGCCAAACGTAAGAGGTTACTTCTGGAAGCAGCAGAACAAAAGGCTAAGTTACTAATGGATTTAATCGATAAAAGACACGAAGCAGACTTAGCTGACTTAGAAGATGAATAGAGTCCGCTAGAAGGTGACCGCGAGAGCCAACGTACTCGCACCGAAGTCCAGAAGCGGCTTGAACAAAGTCAACACGAGATGGTAACGGATCCGGCCGCCCCCGCTAATGGTCCCACTACGGGCACGTTGGACACGCTCCATGGAACCGTCGAGTTGTTGACGGCAGCATTAAAGCAAATCAGCTGTAACTAATAGTGGATCTAACACTCAACTGCTGACTCGGATGAGTGTACCGAAGGACTTACATGAATTTCATGGGTATCCGCTCACAATTCAAGCAAGCATACGAGTACGATACGAGAAGAGTCTACCAAAATATGTGGTTTTAGTGACATTGAAAATGTTTGGAGGTTACGAAAATGTCTTCGAGGAGCTGCTAAGGATGTCGTCTCGGTCCTCCTCATATGTGCAACCTCACCAAATCAGCTGATATCTACCTTAGAGCTGAGGTTTGGTAACCCAGATATCATATTGTTTAAGATCACACAAGATTTGAAAAGATTACCGCCCCTCCCGCCTCATTATCAAAGTAAAATTGTGTCATTTTCTGTTAAAATACAGAACTATGTAACAGCTGAATTAGCACTATGGTGGGGAATGTTAGCGACGCGCTCATACCATTATAATATGTACAATTTGTAATGGAAAATTTTTGTATTTTATATTCGATAAAAGGGGTAGTCCGATATCGCTAGCCAGTGAATTCGAATACGTTATAACTGCCGCTGAGCGCGGCGAGTCAGTCTCATAGAGAAATATAATATTACCAAAAGGAAAAGAGAGCCCTCTCGCCGATATTTTTGAAACCCTAGTTTGAATAGTGGCGCCATCTCTTAACCTGTACGCAAACTAAATCATCCAGCGTACTATATATAGGTACCTATATATTTATATAGTTTCTGTATATACAGTTCGACAAGGATCAAAGGTTCCATGGGTAAAATTTGGCCGTGCTGAAAAAAGAACAAGTTGGGCCTACTGAATACTTCGATTTACTAGGTTGAGACTACCAGAGCCATAGTAAATCGATACTTGCATTCAGTGAGCCTAAATTGCTCTTTTTAGAGCGGCCAAATTTTACTCATGGAACCTCAGATCCTTGTCGAACTGTAATTCTCTTTTGGAGAATTCTATTTTGGAAGGTTGTTAATTCGTTTTAAGTGGTTTTATTAGACGTGTTAATAATGTCGCACATAATGTTAAAGAATCAAGTATACGCCTAACAAAATTCCACTCAAAACTTTGAAATAAAACTCTTTTTTAACTAAATTTACAATTTATTTATGCTTGTGTTTATTAAAATACAGTTGTGCATATTTTTTTATTTCGTCATCCCCTTCATCTTCATATGTCATCTTGCCAGATAAAATTCGGTTTATTTGTCTGCACCAACTGTTTATAAAGACATTTATAGTTGTTTTTACAAAATAATCAAATAACTGATCGCTGTGTCTTTTACATGTACATGGGAATGAGTACAACGTCTTTACAATAATTATTAATTTGGCTCGTATATTTGCCTTGGGTACATTTCTTTTTAATAATGTAACTGTGGCACGTTGTACTTCATAAAAAAAAAATACAATTTCCTTAGATGGATAAGTTTGCCACCTTTTGTTTTTATTATATTCTCTTAATCTAATGTACTCATTAAAAACATTACTATTGTCACATAATAATTCAGATTTACATGTGACACAGCCTTTTACAACATTTGTTAAACATTTTTTTACAACCCAGCCACATACATAATTGCGTTGGCCCAAATCTATTTCAATTTCCTCATTTAAGAGTAATTCTAGATTAATATTAAAATTTTCTTCGGAAATATCATTCTTCTCTTTGTATTGCTCTTTTTCTGCCAGAAAGAAATCAAGTGTTTGAAGGCATTTATTTTCGTCCTTTTCACAATTTGAGCCGACTGAATGAGGTGAATTAAAATTATTTAATAGTAAAGCCTTAAACGCTCCTTCAAACGCGACAGCATTAGGCGAATTATTTCTCGCACCATAACTGCGAATATTTCCGAAGAAATTTTCAACAGGGTCTTGGTTGAAGTGCCGTGTCAACATACAATCAAAATTATATTTATTATTCAAAATGTACCACAAGGCTTCAAACCCTTCTATAGTTTTAATAAAATTATTTGTGGTTGGTACACTGCTTGTTACTAACCGAATTTTATCACCGGTCTTTTTAGTCATAACAAACTTAACGCTTTTTAAAACAATTTTAGCTTTTGTCCAAAGTCTATGATGAGGTGACGATTTTTTTACACATCCTTTATAAATTTTCCCGTTAGGGATGTAAAAAGAACTAGAATTTAAAGAGTCAAACAAATTGTCGACCAATGCGACCAGAGGAATTAAATGGCGACATTCTTCTTTTAAAATCCCTCGCGCTGTCAGATGTTCAGTCACAACTGCCACACTGTGACTAAATATCTGAGCAGCCAGTTTTACCCTCATCTTTTTTATTTTTTCAGGGTTTATATGTTCTTCCGTTATTTTATGCAATAAACGAAGTTCCCCAAATGTTTTGTCAGCTTCATAGATATTTCTAAAATATTCCCACTTCACAATTTTCTCTTTACCGTCATCATCTATATCTCTATACAGTAAATCTTTCGTCAGTAAATTATTTCGCAGACCCTTTAACAAATGGGGAACATCATAGAGGGGTATAATTTTAAGTTTTTTAATTTCGTAATAATCATACCGCCATTCGTTTCCTTGTCGCAAAACCACAGCTTTGGTTTCATTTACTAAGTCTGTAATGGCTCCAACATTTACTGAGCTTTGATCGCAGACTGAGCATAGGGGAATCAAACCAGTAGCTTGTATTGCTTGAACTACCTCTTCTATAATATTTTTTAATTTATTTCTCGTGAGGCGGTTTGTGAAAAAGTAAGCTACTGGTTGTTTAAAGTTGGCTTTCAAACCCTTCACCATAAAAACTAAAACATGGTCTGCAATTTCGCTATCATTTTCACTTGTCCCCATGCTCACAAAACCTTTAAATTTATCGTTAGCCATGTCAAAATTTA